AGGGACTCGTTAGAGTAGAAGAAACGCTCAGTGCAGCAAAATATAGAGATAGCCTTAATGAAAACCCAGTCCAGAGCATTCGGAACCTCAGACTGGGCAGAAGGTTCACCTTCCAACAGGACAATGACCCTAAGCACACAGCAAGAGTGGCTTACAGACAACTCTGTGAATGTCCTTGAGTGGCCCAGCCACAGCCTGGGATTGAACCCAATCAAATATTTCTGGAGAAACCTGAAAATGTGTGTCTGCCCCCATCCAACCTGACAGAGCTTGAGAGGTGAACAGGTGAGGTGAAGAATGGCAGATAATTGCCAAAGCTTGTCGCTGTCGCATCATACCCAAAAATACTTGAGTCAGTAAAGGTGCTTGAGCTAAGTACCGAGTTGAATATTTATGCAATGTACTTAAAAAAAATTTTTTATATATATATATGTAACCCCTCTCTCCCGGGTCCTCTCCACCACACCTCGTTCTCGCTCCGAGTGGGTCTCGAACCCGGGTCTCCGGCATGGGAGGCGGACGCACTAACAAGGAGGCTAAAGACTGCAGCCACTAGCTTCAGTCACTAGTGCGTCTCTTGAGATCAGGGGAGTGAGGTTTACCTGCACAGCACCTACTCGCTGGCCTCCGTTACACTCACCCCCCTAACACTCACTCCCATCCGGGTCATGGCACCAATGTGACTGTGTGTGTGTGTTGGAGTAATTCACACTGAGATCAGGTGGATGGTCACTCAAGGATGCTTTACTGGGCCTGACAGACAAAACTGGGACAAACACGACCAAAAGGCTGGTTAGAATACATTGCATCAATGTCGCATGAGAAGTCTTAGCAGCAGGGAGACTCTGCTGCTGACATTTTCTCTAAAGTGCACACATAGTGGGCAAAAACCTCAAAATAAAGCACACATTAAATAAAATAAAACAAAACACTAATACAGTCAATTCACCTTAACACAGAGAAACTATAAACTTAAGTGACCAATATTTTACATATTTTGTATAAAAGACAGACAGAACGGGAAGAATGCAGCCCTAAAATGGCGCCGCTACACACTTCAGCACGTGCGATAGCTCCGCCCCGCAACATCATGTGCGCAATGAGTGATGCAACAGCCAATGGGAGTTTTCCCAATTTATGCATGAATTTAACGAATTATTTTAACTCCGTTACATATATAAATTTACAACGTTGTTACAATTCTGTTTTTGCTTTGCCATTATGGTGTATGAAGTGTAGATTGATGTGGGGGAAAAAGTAATTTAAAGCAGTTTAACATAAGGCTGCAACATAACAAAACATGAAAAAAGGCACGGTATAGGTGGATGTTTATTTTATTTTATATTTATTTTATTTTATTTCCCCCAAACAAAGGCCTTCAATCACAGGAAAAAAAAAAAAAAGTAATTGGTCTCCAGAGGCTCACAAAAACCTCATCAGTGCAATCTTTGTCTCTTTTTCTCTCTCTGATGTTTCCATCAAAGCCCTTTTCCTCTAAAAGAGGAGCAGGATTCTGGGATGCTATTGTTCCCTCTGATTAAACAGCTTCAGATGATCAGAAATACCTCTCAACCCCTCTGGATACAAGAGCAGAATCATTTACACTCTATATGGGTTTAAGCGACAAAGCAGATTACACAATTCATCCACAGTAATGCTCCGCTCAATATTCTGTTGACAGTGATGGTTTGGTGACAGCTCCAGTATAATGACAAACCCATTATCTTGATGACTGTTTAAATTGGCCAGACCTTCTATCAGTCTCGTCGTCCAATACTAGTTTCTTATTCTGTTAACAAAAAAAACTACAAAATCTGTGATGACCTCTATTTCAGCTTCCAAGGGAGTCTCTCTTTCTCCGTCCCTTTCTCAAAACATCCTCCAGCGTTTTCGCATGCACTGCAGTCTAACGCGTCACGGAGGTGAAGGACATGGGGGTGTAGAGAGACACTGTTTAGCCCACTCTGTCACAGAGACAGCAGTGATGCTGTTGAGCTCCCCTGCCCCTGAAGACTAGGTGGTACGGTCCAGACATGTGTCAGGGATATTTAAACGAGAGGGGGATGACAGTGGCCATAGTCCAGACAGCTGGCAGGAACCAGGGAGGAGAGAGTGGATGCTTCGGCTGCATCAGCTCTGTTTACTGTATGTATGTGGGACAGATTGAATCATAAGACAATGTGTGTGTGTGTGTGCAAGCGAGTGAGTGAGTGAGTGAGTGAGTGTGTGAGTGAGTGACAGGCATGCTTTGCTATAGATGTGTGTTGGTTTAGAAAGTGTTTGCTACATGTTCTTTCTGTCTCTCTTCTTGTGTGTGTGTGTGTGTGTGTGTGTGTGTGTGTGAGTGAGTGACAGGCATGCTTTTGCTATAGATGTGTGTTGGTTTAGAAAGTGTTTGCTACATGTTCTTTCTGTCTCTCTTCTTTTATTCTGTCTGCCTTTTCTGACCTGTTTTGGGAGATTTCCAGCAATAGTTTGCCTGTATCCTTTCATCTGAGATGTTTATGTCCTTCTATGCCTTTTCATTCTGTTTCTCTCCATCTCTAAGCTCTCAGCTGTGTTGCTGTCAGCTCATGTTTTTCCCTTGGTAGTCTTGCACTTGTGTGTGTGTGTAGCTGAAAGATGGTGTGTGGATATATTGATTGTCCTCAGTATTGTCCTGTTTTGAAGATGTTGTGGTCAGCGTTGTGTTTCACAGGTGACAGATTAAGTGGACAGTTGAAGGAGTAGTAGCTGCTTGGATGTGTTTTGTGTATGAGATTGTGTCTGTTTAAAGGAAAAGAGGTTATGAGGCCTCCAAACCCTACTGGGAAATACAGTTTAAGCTGGTCGATGTGTTTTGGTTTCTAATAGGTCCACACTGGTGGATCATCTTGGGCAATCAGCAAACCAGCTACCAATCTTGGTTTAGCATGACCAGTTAGAAACTAGCTACCGTGTTCCAAAACACAACGATTTTCCAACAGGAAACACATGGACAGGAGTGTATTATTCTAAATGGAACACTGCAAGCTATAGTTGTAGTCATGTGATTTTTACATAAACCTTGAATGTGTTTCATATTTGTATCTTCTCTGCCAGTTCCAGTTTAATTTACACCTATCTTGTAGGGTCATGTCAGGTGTTAAGTGAGTGAACAAAGGGATGCGACATTAGGTTGCCATGGTGACAGTGACTGGCCCTGATTGGAGTTAGTGAGGTAACTGTAGTCTAATGCGTTACTTTACTAGTTACTTGAAAAAAGTAATCTGATTACGTAACTCGCGTTACTTGTAATGCGTTACCCCCAACACTGGTCCTCAGTGTGGCTCGGTTTTGCTCCGGATTTCATGAAGTATGTCACTGCATTAGAACCAGCTGGTAATATAAATTTAGATCACATTTTAGGTATTGTTATGCAAGACATCCCTCAGCTTCCCCAATGATGTTTGTATAGCCTATTTCTGCATTTATGGAACATATGAGATGTTTCATAATCAGAACTTTTATGATAATACTAAGTACTGTAAATATACACTACTGTTCAACATTTTTAAAATGTTTTTGAAAGAAGCCTCTTATGCTCACCAAGACTGCATTTATTTTATTAAAAATACAGTAAAAAGAGTAATATTGTGAAATATTATTACAATAAAAACTGCAATACAAAAATGAAAGCCTTCAAATAAACTAACAGACAAGAACAGTGTACAATATAGTACAAAAACATATTAAAATATTTTAAAGTATAATTTAGTCCTGTGGTGGCAAAGCTGAATTGTCAGCGGTCATTACTCCAGTCTTCAGCATCACATGATCCTTCAGAAATCATTCTCATATGCTGATTTGATGGTGAAAACAGTTGAGCTGCTTAATATTTTTGTGTAAACCTGATACATCTTTTTCAGGATTCTTTGTTGCATGGAAAGTTCAAAAGAACAGCATTTATGTGAAACGGAAATCTGTTAGTGACTTCTTAAATGTCTTTTTGATCAATTAAATGCATCCTTGTTGAATAACAGTAATAATTTCTTTAAAAAAAAAACTTTACGGTAGTGTACATACATGATATTTGATAGAAAGCAGAATTAATTAAAATAAAATTTACAGGTGAATAATTTAATTTTAATTTAATAATTTAAAAATAATTAATCAAATATGAAGCAGATAAATACACAAATATTACACAACTTTCAAATGAAAATTAATTTGTTGTTGAGCGGGATGGTGTCTAACTTACGAGCCTATAAGTCGGTCTGATCTTTGACCTCATCTCCTGTGTCATATAGGGCACTGGTCATTCTAGTGTTGCTCTTATCTCTCAGCTCTATATCTCACTACAGTGATTATTCTCCTCTCACATTCATAAATATGTGACATTTATAGAACCTCATTTCAGAATGTTTACCATCAGAATCAATAACTCCATTACCTGTGTTGTGTAATTGTACGGTTGAATCTCGTCCGTACCCAGAAGAGGTTAGCCACTCTGACCGGTTTTGAGTGTTTTTCTGCTTAGCTGTTTATGTAGTGATCCTGTGTATGAAGGGGCTGGTGGTTATGTAATTAGGCCTGTCACGATAACATCTGATATATTGCGTCACCAAAAATTATTGAGGTCATGTACATATATTGCGCGATAAGTCGATATATTGATTATTGCGACAGGCCTATATGTAATGAGCATGAAAATGCCAAAATAACACGCATGAGAAGATTATACACAAGCCAGTGGATATATCTGTCTCTACTTCTGTCTTTGCGTTGTTCTATACACACATCATGCACATCAAAAATCCTGACAATATCTCTCTTCTTTATGCTTTAGCTTTCATTTAAGTGTAAAATGTGTAGGCCGGTATCGTGTGGAGGTAAAAGAGAAGTGTGAAAACCGAGAGCGTGATTATAAGTGTGTGAGGTTGTGTGTGCATCTCATGCTGTGTCTATCGGTGTTGTGTGCTAATGAACTGTCATTGTCATAATTAGTCAACCCATCTGGGCCTGTGAAAAGGCCTCACACATTTTAGCAACGAGTTCATTTCCTAGACAATCCTGTTGTTAATTACCTTCAGTAAACTCACTGATAAGTATGTTGCACATTAACTTTGCCAGAACAGTAAAACAATGAGCAGGGCCTTATAAAGCATTGTGTAAACTACAGTAGAATCAGGGTTAGTATAACATGACTCCATTCCGGCAGCTATGGGCCACATCCGCTGATACCAAACTTTAAATTATTCAGTTCTGCTACTCTCGTTTGTGTTTGAGCGCTGTGGATAATTACACGGCAGTGGTTCGTAATTAGTTCTTGAATCTAAGCAGGCGGATGGCGATTCCTACTTTCCGTGGGGAGAATGCGTGCATTACGTCAAATGGCATTGTTATAACAAAGTGGTTGTTATTGAGGTTATGAATAGGAATCATGGTAAAGCTCTAGAAAAACAACAAACGTCAGTCCCTTAGGGGATGACAGTGACTCAAGTTTGTTTATTGAGAAAGTATTGTATCCTCAAAATCTGCTGTATTTAGCAAGCCAACCAATGCATTTTTTCTACTCAAAGTTAAACCATGTTTATTATGTCACTGAGCATTTTATGCAAAGTAGTCTGGAGTACATATTTTGATCTTTTTTAAACATGATGCTGTATGTCAAGTTTTCTGACATATTTGTTTTTATTTTAACAGGAAAACCTTGTCAATTTACACTGTTCAGAAGTTTGGGATTGGTAGAATTTTCAAATGTTTTTGAAAGAAGTCTCTTATGCTCACCAAGGCTGTATTTATTCGATCAAAATAGAGTAAAAACAGTACGGCTGTTCAGCAGTCTTTAGTGTCACATGATCCTTCAGAAATCATTCTAATAGGCTGATTCGATGCTCAAGAAACATTTATTGTTATTATCAATTTCTGAAAACAGTTGTGCTGCTTACTGTCACTTTAGATCAATTTAATGTGTCATTGCTGAATATTTTTCCTTAAAAAAATAAAAAAAACACCGTTTGACCCCAAACTTTTGAATGGATTTGTACCTGAAAAGCAAATTTTTTTAAATATTAATACTTGAGAGAATCTTGAATAAAGTTTAAGAATTTTTCATGTTTTTAGGCATAAATGCTTAAATTTATGCTAAAATAAAAACTAGAAAATAATCTTAAAGATCAAACTTTTTTACTATTCTGAAAATATTCACTATTGTTTTTTTATATCTTAATATCTCAGTCACATTTATATTTTGCTTCTCGATTGAATTTATTTTAACAATGTTTTATTTAAGTAGGTCAAGGTATTTTTTTGCTAAATACAATTTTTTTTTCAATGTAGTGCAGTGTCTATACAATCCAGTGTTGAGGAAGTCATTTGGTTTCATTTATATGAGTAATTCATTAAGGGTAAAGCTGTAAAGCCAGGAGATCAAAATAACAGCGATTAACAAGCACATACATTCATACAGATTAAGAATTATACAGCAAGGGATTTAAACTACGAGTACTGTAAGTGATTATGCTGCTACAATAAAAAGTGCTTCCATAGACAAAAAAAAAAACCCTTATGTTAAGCGTAGCTTTTCATGATGATGGATTTCTCTCAGGCTTAAAATGGGAAGTTTCTGCTCTTTGTAAAACAGTGATGAATATGTCAATATACCAACTGCTGAGCTCATCACATGATCTCAGGATAAATTCCGGTCCAGAAAACAGCCGTTATCTGTATTGTGACTACTGCAGATCTACTGTAGTCCACAGACTAGTAGTTTTTTGTATTTGCATTAGTATTGCAAACTGTTTTTGAGATTCTGCTGATGGCTGTAACTATGGGAATCCATTTATACTCGGCCCGTTTCCTGTGCTTTCACGGTGGGACGTGATATCCAGCTCTCTGCAGTGCAGGGGCTAGACATGGTTGCTTAATTATTTATCAGGCTTATGAATATTTGATCAAGCGTCCGAGTTTAGGAAGATTGATATCACTCACGGGAACTATGGAACTCGAGCAGAAGGGTCGAGCTTCACTCACAGCAAAGTGAAAGTGTTGAAAGCATTTGTTTGTAAAGCACAATATTGTGATCAGTGTTGGGGGTAACACATTACAAGTTACGTAATCAGATCACTTTTTTTAAAGTAACTAGTAAAGTACCGCATTATTTTTTAATTTAGAAGGAAATATCTTTACTTTAAGTTACTATCGTTACTTTTTCAAATAAGTAACTCCAGTTACTTTGTTTCCCATGTATTGACTGACAACTCTCGTGTTGCCATGTTGAGAGAAATTGTGAGTAAGTGCATAGGCGTTGTGTGCACTGTGTGAACATGATGCTTACTGTAGCTCTAGACTAAATATGAACATGTATTTACTCATCTCACCTGCACAAAAACAGATTCTGTATTCCTCAAAATGAATAAAAGCAGTCAAATGCAAACTTTAATATTACACAAACAAGACAAATTCACAAATCATTTATGCATTTAATCCCATTTTATTAACCCATGTCTTTGCTACTGAACTTCAATGATCAAATTCAACCATACTAAGCAAAAAATGACACATTTGTGTTTCATTTTTGTTATTGCTGAATCGTGTTGAACTTTCTTCTTCTGCATCATATTCTTCATGCAATTTGTTTGAGCTGCGCTACTGTACAGACATGAATTTACATGAATTTACATTTCCTATTCATTTCACTTTTGTTGTGAAAGGGCTTTTACATTTGTAAAATAACTTTTTTATATTAAAAACAAAGCCCTGCCCAGATTTGAAAAGTAACTCGAAAGTCACGTAATTACTTTCCATAAAAAGTAACTAAGTAACGTAATTAGTTACTTTTTTAGGGAGTAATGCAATATTGTAATGCATTACTTTTAAAAGTATCTTTCCGCAACACTGATTGTGATATTAAAATATTTCTGATCTGTGAGAACTTTGAATATGAAAGCAAAATCATTTTTAATCATACTTTGGCTTACACTATACTGGAAAAAAAAAATTCAGTATTTTGGTCTTGTTTTCTTGTGATAATATCTATAGATCCTTAGTTAAAATATTAAATAAAATGTTATCTTAATTATTTATGCTTAAAAAATGATTGATGAATAAATGCAGCCATGGTGAGCATAACAAACTATTTTCAAAAAGATGTTTGGATATTAATTGCAGTGACTTTTTGCAGTGTATAAATGCTATAATTTGAGTGGGCACTAGAAGTATTTGGTCTATAATTGCCCACAAGTTAAGTGGGCATACTAAGACTGAGGCCAGCACACTCCTGTGTCAAAAATAAATGTCCTCCCACCTAAATGCTCCATTGTTTGGTGAGACAAACAGTTGTGGATCTTCAGCAGCTTTCTGACCCTGCCTTTCTCTAGACAGCAGAAAAACAAGGCTAAATAAAATGGATCACAATGTATTGCCATTTTTCCTCAAATGTTTTCTTCATATTCACTTCTGCAAAATTTAAATGTTTTAAAAATGAAAGCCAGTCACGCCATCTCTGTTGAAGTAAAGATCTCTTTCTCATGGTCCTCCTAATAGATCTCCGTGTTGGCCGACACTTCCTCACATCCCAGTATTCTTTGCCTGGCAACCCTGTAACCAAGCACGGCCACATTGACCTGCGCACATCCATGGATGGCAAATACAAAGAGATTGCAGAGGTAAACAAAGTAGCAATCACAATAATCACGATGCTTGAATGCATTTTTGGTGTTTGTTTCTGCTGTTATGTAAATGTGTGCTTAATTGTGTGTGTTTAGGAGCTGTTCTCCCGCAGCCTGGCAGAGAGTGAGATGCGGAGCGCTCCATATGAGTTCCCTGAGGAGAGCCCTATTGAGCAGCTGGAGGAGAGGCGGCAGCGACTGGAGCGGCAAATCAGCCAGGATATCAAGTACTACATCCCATCATTCATCATGAAACTTGACCACTGAAAGTAGCTGTAGTGCTTACAATACACAAGCTTTGTAACCTAAAATTCCACATTTTCCTTAACCCACAATTCTCTGTTCCTAAAGCCAGATGGCCAACAAAATTTTAATGTCAACATAAAGCTGAATGCTAGTAAAGCTAGTCAACCAACGGATGTAGACTTGCTAGTTAAAGGGATAGTTCACCCAAAAATGAAAATTACCTCATGATTTACCCTCAAGCCATCCTAGGTGTATTTGACTTTCTTCTTTTTCAGACGAATACAATCAGAGTTATATATAAAAAATATCCTGGCTCTTCCGAGCTTTATAATGGCAGTGAATGGCTGTTGATAATTTGAAGTTCAATAAAGTGCATCCATCCATCATAAAAAGTACTCCACACTGCTCCGGGGGTTAATAAAGGCCTTCCATATTTAAAACTGTCGTACACTAGAGTATAGTTCCAGAGGATGACATAGGTGTAGTGTAAGCTCTGGTGAGAATATGCTAGAACCAAGTTTTGTTTACAGCAAAGGAAAACGGAAAAGGTCTCCTTGTGGCTTATATCGAAATCCTCCAACATTTTTCTTTACAAAACCTCATTTTGTACTTCTAATTCTTGACTGGTTTGTTTTGCTCTATCTTTTGCACTTCCGTGTTCGTCACTGCATTCACCTACCTCATCCGCTGGAACGCTATACTCTCTTGTGAACGTGCATACGACAGTTAGCGGAAGCTAGAGATTATGGTTTATAAAGTTTTAAATATGGATATTTTTCTTACACAAACACATCGATTTCACTTCAAAAGGCCTTTTTTAACCCCCCGGAGCTGTGTGGAGTACTTTTTATGATGGATGGATGCACTTTATTTTGCTTCAAAATCTCAACAGCCATTCACTGCCAATTATAAAGCTTAAAAGAGCCAGGAGTTTTTTTTTAATATAAATCCGATTGTATTCCTCATTCCCAGGATGGCTTGAGAGTGAGTAAATCTTAAGTTAATTTTCATTTTAGGGTGAAGTATCCCTTTAACCTACACTACCATTTAAAAGTTAGTGGTCAGTAAGATTTTATATATATGTATATATTTTTAAAGGGGTCATCGGATGCGAAATGCACTTTTACATGTTGTTTGAACATAAATGTGTGTTGGCGGTGTGTGTACACGATCACCCTATAATGATAAAAATCCACTGAGTACACAAACGCATCAATTCACTTCAGAAGGCCTTTATTAATTCCCTGGAGCCGTGTGGAACACTTTTTATGACGGAGGGATGCACTTTATTTTGCTTCAAAATCTCAACAGCCATTCACTGCCAATTATAAAGCTTAAAAGAGCCAGGAGTTTTTTTTTTATATAAATCCGATTGTATTCCTCATTCCCAGGATGGCTTGAGAGTGAGTAAATCTTAAGTTAATTTTCATTTTAGGGTGAAGTATCCCTTTAACCTACACTACCATTTAAAAGTTAGTGGTCAGTAAGATTTTATATATATGTATATATTTTTAAAGGGGTCATCGGATGCGAAATGCACTTTTACATGTTGTTTGAACATAAATGTGTGTTGGCGGTGTGTGTACACGATCACCCTATAATGATAAAAATCCACTGAGTGTTTTTTTAAAATAAAATCATTACCCCTTTCTCAAATCAAGCCGTTCTCAGCTTCTTGTCTGTGTCACAGACCCAGGCCCTCCCACGAAAGTTGATTGACACTAGCGTTTCAGCACAGACCGGACTGGTGTCTTACCTTAGAGTGAGCTGTCAACAGTCTGCTATTGTTTCGACGCCAGAGCAGATGTAGACAACAATGACTCCTAAGCCATTGAAGTGTTTTTTTGTTGAATGTAATAATGAACATAGCAGTCGTCATTTACTCCCGACATCTGAGCCGCTGAAGACACAGTGGATTACTTTTGTTTCTGAAGGGAATGCGCCCCCGATCTACCTAAATGCGTCTATGTTCGCGCGAATCATTCGTGATCCAGCTTCACCTACAGAAGAAGTGAGTATACTTTTTTTTTTTTAATGAATCTTTGCAAATCGCTTTTCCTAATATTGTGCTAGTTAGCAAGTTTCAAGATGAATGCGGCTAAAGTTTACCGTCTCTCAGAGAGCATCTCGGAAGAGAGGGGCGGGGTCAGCAGAGCTCATTAGCATTTAAAGCGGCATGCAACAAAACCGCTTGCTCTGAAAAGAGCCGTTTTAGACCGGATAAAAAGGGTGTTGTTTTACACTACCATTGAGAAATTTTAACCAAAGTATGTTATAAACTTTTCATTAAGACCCTAAAGAATCATATCCGATGACCCCTTTAAGAAATTATTACTTTTATTTAGCAAGGACGCATTAAATGAATTAAAAGTGACAAGTAAAAAAGTAAAAGGTTAAAAAAGATTTATATTCCAAATAAAGTACTTTTGAACTTTCTATTCATCAAAACATTCAGGGAAAAAAAGTAACTCTGTTGCCACAAAAAAACTAAATTGAATAAGTATTTGCTTAAAATTCAGCATTGCCACCAAAGGAATAAATTACATTTTAACATGTATTAAAATAGAAAACAGTTGAAAATTATGATAACATTTCACAATATTGTTGTACTGTATGTTTGATCAAACAAATGCAGCCTTTATGAGCATAACAGACTTCTTTCAAAACACTAAAAATTTTAACGACTACAAACTTTTGAATGTTAGTGTAGTTAAATAGCCTGCTGGGAACATCAACATCCCATGTTGTAATCCAGCAACTGAAGCACAACTTACATGCTGATGTCCAACTGTACGAGTCTTTTCAGCTGGGCATGTGTCATAAAAAATTAACTCATGTGCCAATATTAGTCCAACATTCGATGCTCTGTATGCACATGTGACCTTTGACCCACAGCGAGTTAATTAAATGCCGTTTCTCTTGAGGTTTGAGCCTGATATCCTGCTGCGAGCCAAACAGGACTTCATGAAAACTGACAGTGCGACAGATCTGGAGTGAGTGTCTTTAAGATCATTCATGTGAGACACAGTGTTTTTTAACTAGTATCAGCATGCTGTACCTTTACTCTATCTCAGGTATATGAAAGAACAAAGCCAGGCTCCCAAAGAACTCTATCCCGAGAGAGAGCTCGTCGTTGAGAGGGAGTATCAGAGAGTCGCCATCTCTGGAGAGGAGAAATGTGGGGTAGCAACAGCTCTGTTTTTCACTTTACTGTTTTGTTTGTTATACAAAAACAAGATGTTGTTGACAGAACTGAAGTGGACACTACAGACATTACATAAACTCCTGAGGGAGAACCAAGTTTCACACATCCACACACAAATACACAAACTCTTGAGGGAAGCATGAGGGGACCGCAACACAGCTGAGGGGTTTTCACAAGAAAAAGAGGAGCTGAAAGAGGGAAATACAGAATGTTAATAGTAAAAAAATAAATAAATAAAACATTTTAGAACTGCTTTTTACTTTTTTTCACCTAAAATTCTGTGTATCTGGAGGAGAAATGGACTTCTGCTACAACCACTATACTGTAAAACTGTCTCCTGAGAAAGGTTAGAAAGATGTAAATCGATTTAGGCAATCACCTGCAATTTTACTGGTGTTCAAAAGATCAGCTGATACTCAGAACAACAATACAATTACAAACGTGATATTATTTTAAAATGAGTTCAATTATTAAGAAGTAAATATTCAGTAACTTTCATTTCAGACACAATATTGTGAGTAACTTTTTTTTTTTGTTTTGACAAAGAAATTTGTTTTAAAGTCAAAGCGTTCTGCTGAGCATCTCAAGCATTTACCAGACAGACTTTAAGAAATGAGGTTTCATTTTTGAATGAATCGGTGTTTTTAAACTAATCGATTGAGTGAAAGATTCAATGATTCGCTTAAACTTGTTTTCTCCCTGAATGAAACATGCTGCTTCCATACTATATAGTATGCAGAAAACAGTATGCCAAAAGAGTAGTATTTATGAATTCATATTGTTCTAAAAGTAGCCAAATTACCACATTCGATGAACACTTTACTATCCCATGAAGCGACGGGACAGTATTTGGCAATGAAGCATCACAACTGACACTGGTAGGTCCCATGAATTCACAGAACACAATTCACAGAAAACAAAGTTTATAGTTTTTTCAAAAGCTCAGTCACAAGTACTTGATAATCTTAGTATTTTTACATCTGATGGTAAAATTATTGAAAGAGTACCTTCTTACAAGTACTTGGGTATTTGGATTGATGATAAACTTTTGTTCAGTCTAATCTAATCTAATCAGGAAGCTCAAACTAAAGCTAAATCTAATTTTACTTTTAATGCCAAAAATAAACTTTTAGAAGCTACCTTCCTAACTGTGCTTGATTATGGTGATATATTATACATGCATGCGGCCTCCTCTATCTTAACAAGCCTTGATTCGGTATACCATGCTTCACTACGTTTTATTACAAATGCAAAATCCCGTACTCATCATTGCATTCTATATGAGATGGTGGGTTGGACATCATTAGCTATACGTAGAAAACAGCATTGGTATTTTTATCTATAAAGCTATGTTAGGTAAACTTCCAGTTTATACTCTTCTTTGTCTTTGTTCTGGCAATTACCAGCTACGCTCTTCCAAGTGTTTGCTTTTTAACGTACCTCGAGTTTGTACAGAACTGGGGAAAACTGCATTTTCGTATTAATTTACAAAAAGATGGAATAATTTACAAAAAGATCTAAAACTAGATAAATTTGTGTCTATTGGTGAATTTAAAGGCATCATAAAGAGAGTGGTATTGGAAGCTTGTGATTGTTTTTGTTGAGAGGATGTTTAAATATTGTTGTAATGTGTACTTCTTGTATTTTAAAATTGTCTTACTGTATGGCTGCTACCTTGGCCAGGTCTCTCTTGAAAAAGTCCTGGTTAACTTCCTGGTTAAATAAAGGTAAAATTAAAAAAAATGACAGCGACAACATGGTGGATGTAGTATGTCCAAATTTCCTTTATACCCATATTCATACTTTATAGAATGCATTTTTGTAACGGTTGTGAAGTTAGTTTAAAACTAAATGCGCTACCTACCTATTATACAGCATATGATTTTAATAGGTAGCTTCAGTGTTTTTTAATGAAATGATTAAGTGAATGAATCATTGGCCCACTCATACCTAACTGAATGAATCGGTATTGTTGAACAAATCGTTTGAGTGAATGAATCGTTGACCTGCAGAAAGGGGTCACTGAAAAATCCCCACCTCTGATAGATAGATGGACAGACAGACAATGTTTGAGTTAGTCTTCTTCTCTCACACACCCCAGGTTCCATTCACTGACCTGCTGGATGCTGCTAAATGTGTGGTCAAAGCTCTGTTCATCAGAGAGAAGTACATCTCTCTGTCTATGCAGAGCTTCTGCAGGACCACAGCACGTTACCTGCAGGAGGAGCTAGGTGGCCAACCTCTGGACCTCAACACCTTTGAGGAGATGCCGGAGTCCTCCGTATCTGCAAGTGGGTTGAACCAGAGTTTTCTGAAGGATGTATTCTGAGGATTAATGATTTATGTCCAAGAATCAGGACCTTATAGCTAAAATGTACAGTAAATGGAAAAGTTTAAGATTGTGTTTAAACTCAATAGAGAGAGACACACTGGATTGATCTGCGTTTAGAAGAGAGGAATAATTTACAGCTGAGTGATTTCATGGAATTGACTTAACTGTGGAAAGAACTGAAGGCATGTGCTTTGTTTGCAGATTCAGCATCTGTTTATGAACCACAAATGATCAGTCAAACCACAGCACTTTTGCTCATTAAAGCCATAGTCATAAAAAATGAAATTTTGTCATCATTACCTCCACAATTACAAAATATAACAAAGTGAGGAACAGAAATAAATAAATTTTTTCATGTAAAATCTTGACATCAGTCCCATCTCTACTTGATATTGTCATGGGAAAATAACGATGCTCAATTTAAGAAAGAGTTGTTCTTTTAAATCAGATATTTCAAATTCATTTGTAAAATTAGTAGAAAACAGTTATTTCAAATTGTAATAATATTTCCCAATATTACTGGTTTTTACTGTATTTTTGGTCAAATAAATGCAGGATTGGTAAGGATTAGAGACTTCTTTCAAAAGCATAAAAAATATATATCTTACAGACCCCAAACTTAGTCATGTAAGTGTATTTATTTATTTTGGTGATCAATATTCAGAAAACATGATATAAGAGAGAGAAATATATTCAGTCGTCCTATGTTCTCCATAGATGCGACGGTCCACCCACCTGTGTCAGAAACCCACCCCTATGAGGTGCTAGACCCTGCCAGCATGCCCCCAGGTTTGGGCTACACTTGCAAGATGGTGGATGGTGTTGTTCATGTGTACACACAGAAGTAAGACTTCTTCCTGTTTACCCACTGACCATGTAAACATTATCAACAGTGACACATAATTTCAATATTTTTGTTTCGCTAGAAAGAATCCTTGGAATGTGGTGGTAGTTGTACTTTTTTATTTAACCTTTTGTCGTTCTTTTCTTTCTTTTTTAATATCTTCTTTCATAATGTCCATCAGTTCCTCAGAGCTAGACTTGCCGTACCCAGACCTGCAGGAATACATAGCTGATATGAACATGATGATGGCGCTCATCATTAACGGGCCAGTGTAAGTTGTCCTAAACACTGTGAGGTTTGTTTCCATTCTGATGCAGCAGAGTCAGGAAAAGATCATCAAATTACTGATTGAAACAGCTCATTCTGTAAATGTGAGCTGATCCCTGAGGGAGCTCCTATGCTTGATTGATTTACGCACTGACCTCAGTTTGAACCTGTGGATGAAATGTAAAAATAAAGCCATCCTCACTGAGATAAAGATGTGTAATTAATTTGTAATCTGAATAATGTCACGAAGATGAAGAAGTGGAAAAGTCTGATTAAATCTGACCCCAAAAATAGCCAGAACTGGTCTGATCTGCAGCAGAGCTCATTAGCATTTAAAGCGGCATGCAACAAAACCGCTTGCTCTGAAAAGAGCCGTTTTAGACCGGATAAAAAGGGTGTTGTTTTACACTACCATTGAGAAATTTTAACCAAAGTATGTTATAAACTTTTCATTAAGACCCTAAAGAATCATATCCGATGACCCCTTTAAGAAATTATTACTTTTATTTAGCAAGGACGCATTAAATGAATTAAAAGTGACAAGTAAAAAAGTAAAAGGTTAAAAAAGATTTATATTCCAAATAAAGTACTTTTGAACTTTCTATTCATCAAAACATTCAGGGAAAAAAAGTAACTCTGTTGCCACAAAAAAACTAAATTGAATAAGTATTTGCTTAAAATTCAGCATTGCCACCAAAGGAATAAATTACATTTTAACATGTATTAAAATAGAAAACAGTTGAAAATTATGATAACATTTCACAATATTGTTGTACTGTATGTTTGATCAAACAAATGCAGCCTTTATGAGCATAACAGACTTCTTTCAAAACACTAAAAATTTTAACGACTACAAACTTTTGAATGTTAGTGTAGTTAAATAGCCTGCTGGGAACATCAACATCCCATGTTGTAATCCAGCAACTGAAGCACAACTTACATGCTGATGTCCAACTGTACGAGTCTTTTCAGCTGGGCATGTGTCATAAAAAATTAACTCATGTGCCAATATTAGTCCAACATTCGATGCTCTGTATGCACATGTGACCTTTGACCCACAGCGAGTTAATTAAATGCCGTTTCTCTTGAGGTTTGAGCCTGATATCCTGCTGCGAGCCAAACAGGACTTCATGAAAACTGACAGTGCGACAGATCTGGAGTGAGTGTCTTTAAGATCATTCATGTGAGACACAGTGTTTTTTAACTAGTATCAGCATGCTGTACCTTTACTCTATCTCAGGTATATGAAAGAACAAAGCCAGGCTCCCAAAGAACTCTATCCCGAGAGAGAGCTCGTCATTGAGAGGGAGTATCAGAGAGTCGCCATCTCTGGAGAGGAGAAATGTGGGGTAGCAACAGCTCTGTTTTTCACTTTACTGTTTTGTTTGTTATACAAAAACAAGATGTTGTTGACAGAACTGAAGTGGACACTACAGACATTACATAAACTCCTGAGGGAGAACCAAGTTTCACACATCCACACACAAATACACAAACTCTTGAGGGAAGCATGAGGGGACCGCAACACAGCTGAGGGGTTTTCACAAGAAAAAGAGGAGCTGAAAGAGGGAAATACAGAATGTTAATAGTAAAAAAATAAATAAATAAAACATTTTAGAACTGCTTTTTACTTTTTTTCACCTAAAATTCTGTGTATCTGGAGGAGAAATGGACTTCTGCTACAACCACTATACTGTAAAACTGTCTCCTGAGAAAGGTTAGAAAGATGTAAATCGATTTAGGCAATCACCTGCAATTTTACTGGTGTTCAAAAGATCAGCTGATACTCAGAACAACAATACAATTACAAACGTGATATTATTTTAAAATGAGTTCAATTATTAAGAAGTAAATATTCAGTAACTTTCATTTCAGACACAATATTGTGAGTAACTTTTTTTTTTTGTTTTGACAAAGAAATTTGTTTTAAAGTCAAAGCATTCTGCTGAGCATCTCAAGCATTTACCAGACAGACTTTAAGAAATGAGGTTTCATTTTTGAATGAATCGGTGTTTTTAAACTAATCGATTGAGTGAAAGATTCAATGATTCGCTTAAACTTGTTTTCTCCCTGAATGAAACATGCTGCTTCCATACTATATAGTATGCAGAAAACAGTATGCCAAAAGAGTAGTATTTATGAATTCATATTGTTCTAAAAGTAGCCAAATTACCACATTCGATGAACACTTTACTATCCCATGAAGCGACGGGACAGTATTTGGCACACAACTGACACAACTGACACTGGTAGGTCCCATGAATTCACAGAACACAATTCACAGAAAACAAAGTTTACAAAAGCTCAAAAAGCTCAGTCACAAGTACTTGATAATCTTAGTATTTTTACATCTGATGGTAAAATTATTGAAAGAGTACCTTCTTACAAGTACATGGGCATTTGGATTGATGATAAACTTTTGTTCAGTCTAATCTAATCTAATCAGGAAGCTCAAACTAAAGCTTGGCTTTTATTTTAGAAATAAATCTAATTTTACTTTTAATGCCAAAAAGAAACTTGTAGAAGCTACCTTCCTAACTGTGCTTGATTATGGTGATATATTATACATGCATGCGGCCTCCTCTATCTTAACAAGCCTTGATTCGGTATACCATGCTTCACTACGTTTTATTACAAATGCAAAATCCCGTACTCATCATTGCATTCTATATGACATGGTGGGTTGGACATCATTAGCTATACGTAGAAAACAGCATTGGTATTTTTATCTATAAAGCTATGTTAGGTAAACTTCCAGTTTATACTCTTCTTTGTCTTTGTTCTGGCAATTACCAGCTACGCTCTTCCAAGTGTTTGCTTTTTAACGTATAAGTTTGTACAGAACTGGGGAAAACAGCATTTTCATATTATGCACCCTGGGCATGGAATAATTTACAAAAAGATCTAAAACTAGATAAATTTGTGTCTATTGGTGAATTTAAAGGCATCATAAAGAGAGTGGTATTGGAAGCTTGTGATTGTTTTTGTTGAGAGGATGTTTAAATATTATTGTAATGTGTACTTCTTGTTTTTTTAAATTGTCTTGCTGTATGGCTGCTACCTTGGCCAGGTCTCTCTTGAAAAAGTCCTGGTTAACTTCCTGGTTAAATAAAGGTAAAATTAAAAAAAATGACAGCGACAACATGGTGGATGTAGTATGTCCAAATTTCCTTTATACCCATATTCATACTTTATAGAATGCATTTTTGTAACGGTTGTGAAGTTAGTTTAAAACTAAATGCGCTACCTACCTATTATACAGCATATGATTTTAATAGGTAGCTTCAGTGTTTTTTAATGAAATGATTAAGTGAATGAATCATTGGCCCACTCATACCTAACTGAATGAATCGGTATTGTTGAACAAATCGTTTGAGTGAATGAATCGTTGACCTGCAGAAAGGGGTCACTGAAAAATCCCCACCTCTGATAGATAGATGGACAGACAGACAATGTTTGAGTTAGTCTTCTTCTCTCACACACCCCAGGTTCCATTCACTGACCTGCTGGATGCTGCTAAATGTGTGGTCAAAGCTCTGTTCATCAGAGAGAAGTACATCTCTCTGTCTATGCAGAGCTTCTGCAGGACCACAGCACGTTACCTGCAGGAGGAGCTAGGTGGCCAACCTCTGGACCTCAACACCTTTGAGGAGATGCCGGAGTCCTCCGTATCTGCAGGTGGGTTGAACCAGAGTTTTCTGAAGGATGTATCCTGAGGATTGATTTACGTCCAAGAACCAGGACCTTTTAGCCAGAATGTACAGTAAATGGGAAAAGTTTAAGATTGTGTTTAAATAGAGACACACTGGATTGATCTGCATTTAGGAGAGTGGAATAATTTACAGCAGAATGATTTCATGGAATTGAACTGTTAACTGAATATTAATACCAGGTGTTTTGTTTGCAGATTCAGCATCTGTTTATGAACCACAAATGATCAGTCAAACCACAGCACTTTTGCTCATTAAAGCCATAGTCATAAAAAATGAAATTTTGTCATCATTACCTCCACAATTACAAAATATAACAAAGTGAGGAACAGAAATAAATAAATTTTTTCATGTAAAATCTTGACATCAGTCCCATCTCTACTTGATATTGTCATGGGAAAATAACGATGCTCAATTTAAGAAAGAGTTGTTCTTTTAAATCAGATATTTCAAATTCATTTGTAAAATTAGTAGAAAACAGTTATTTCAAATTGTAATAATATTTCCCAATATTACTGGTTTTTACTGTATTTTTGGTCAAATAAATGCAGGATTGGTAAGGATTAGAGACTTCTTTCAAAAGCATAAAAAATATATATCTTACAGACCCCAAACTTAGTCATGTAAGTGTATTTATTTATTTTGGTGATCAATATTCAGAAAACATGATATAAGAGAGAGAAATATATTCAGTCGTCCTATGTTCTCCATAGATGCGACGGTCCACCCACCTGTGTCAGAAACCCACCCCTATGAGGTGCTAGACCCTGCCAGCATGCCCCCAGGTTTGGGCTACACTTGCAAGATGGTGGATGGTGTTGTTCATGTGTACACACAGAAGTAAGACTTCTTCCTGTTTACCCACTGACCATGTAAACATTATCAACAGTGACACATAATTTCAATATTTTTGTTTCGCTAGAAAGAATCCTTGGAATGTGGTGGTAGTTGTACTTTTTTATTTAACCTTTTGTCGTTCTTTTCTTTCTTTTTTAATATCTTCTTTCATAATGTCCATCAGTTCCTCAGAGCTAGACTTGCCGTACCCAGACCTGCAGGAATACATAGCTGATATGAACATGATGATGGCGCTCATCATTAACGGGCCAGTGTAAGTTGTCCTAAACACTGTGAGGTTTGTTTCCATTCTGATGCAGCAGAGTCAGGAAAAGATCATCAAATTACTGATTGAAACAGCTCATTCTGTAAATGTGAGCTGATCCCTGAGGGAGCTCCTATGCTTGATTGATTTACGCACTGACCTCAGTTTGAACCTGTGGATGAAATGTAAAAATAAAGCCATCCTCACTGAGATAAAGATGTGTAATTAATTTGTAATCTGAATAATGTCACGAAGATGAAGAAGTGGAAAAGTCTGATTAAATCTGACCCCAAAAATAGCCAGAACTGGTCTGATCTGCCTTAGGTTTGGCATTTGGATTCCTAATTGCATATTTTTCAAACAGGAAATCTTTCTGCTATCGCCGGCTGCAGTACCTCAGCTCCAAGTTCCAGATGCACATTCTCTTAAACGAGATGAAAGAGTTGGCAGCACAGAAGAAAGTCCCTCACCGTGATTTCTACAACATCAGGAAGGTCTGCTGTCCACACAAATATTTCGTTACATTTATTAGTGGTTGTTTGATTATTTGATCAATCACTATTGAACTTTGACATCTTGACCTTCAGGTGGACACACACATCCATGCCTCATCCTGTATGAATCAGAAGCACCTGCTGCGCTTCATTAAAAGAGCCATGAAGAAATATCCAGGTGAAATCGTGCATGTAGAACAAAGCCGAGGACAGACTCTATTAGAGGTGTTTGAGAGCATGAACCTGACGGCCTTTGACCTCAGCGTAGACACTCTGGATATGCATGCGGTAAGAACTGTAGAGGTAGTTATACACATGCCATAAGTTGTTGGAAAAATACTCCTACCATCACCAGCAATTAGACATAATAATAATAATAAGAAATAAACTGAATATACACTTCACTTGTGAATACACTGCTTAAAATGTTTGGGGTCGGCAAGACTTTTATTTTTGAAAAATCTCTTGTTCACCAAGATTTAATTAAAACTACTGTAAAAACAGTAACGTTGTGTAATATTGTGTAATTATTTTATTGTATACAATAAATACAATATACAATACAATTTATTGTATAATAATTATTATTGCAATTTAATTTTTGTGATGGCAAAGCTGAATTTTCAGCATCATTACTCCAGTCTTCAGTGTCACAAGATCCTTCAGAAATCATTCTAATATGCTGATTTGGTGCTCAAGAAACATTTTTTATTATCAATGTTGATAATATGTTTTTATTGAATAGTTCAGTTTTTATTGAATAGTTCAAAAGAACAACATTTATTTAAAATAGAAATATTTCATAACATTATAAATGTCTTTGCTGTCACTTTTTGTCCAATTAATGTCGTTGTTTAATTTCTGTTATATTAATTTCTTCTAAAAAAAAAACACATTTTGAATAGTAGTGCTTGGTATGTTATATCTTGTTGACTTAACAATTATTCATTAAAACCTTAATAAAGTGACTATTAACAAAATATGACCATAAAAGAACAGAAAACTGAAATAACACAGAACCATGAAATAGTTTTAAAAGAACTTAAAGTTAACTTGAAGTTGTTTCACAGTAGATGCCAAGGAAAATATTTAGTGGGAGTTCCAAACTTCATGAGTTTGTGTGGGATCTAGGTCGCTCTCACTACAAATATGTTGCACAGAGTTGCAGATGCAGTCGCACAATCTCAGCGGGTTTACACTTAAGTGAGAACTGAATAAGCTGATGAATGACCTGTTGTTCTCTACTGAATGCAAACTGTGGCTCTACATGAATGCTGTACAACATTGCACACAGTTAATTGGGTCCCTAAACCATGAGAATCAAAATTTTACTAAAAGAGATTCTTCTCTAAATTGTATGTGGGAATAATTGGGCAACATTGAATAAATAGTTTTGGAAGGGAAGATGAGAGAAAAAAAAAGCTTTTTTAAATATAAAAAATATTCTCTCTTTCCTGTAGGACCGTAACACATTTCACCGCTTTGATAAATTCAACTCCAAATACAACCCCATTGGAGAGTCCATCCTCCGAGAAATCTTTATCAAGACTGACAACCATGTTGAGGGGAAATACTTCGGGCACATAATCAAGGTATCTACTCCATATAATCTTTGAGTTTAACAAAACAAACATATGGTAAACATAGTAAATTGCGCCCCCTGCTGATAGTTGTATGTTGGTGCATTTCAGGAGGTGATGGCAGACCTGGAGGAGAGCAAATATCAGAATGTGGAGCTGCGACTCTCCATCTACGGCCGCTCACGAGATGAATGGGATAAACTGGCTCAATGGGCCATCAAACACAAAGTTTATTCAGATAACGTGCGCTGGCTGGTGCAGGTACCCCGGTTATTGTGAGTACTTATTATTCAGAAGCATCGATGTAAGGTAGCAATTTATTATCTGATGTCTACAGTAGGCCTAAATCTTTGATCAAATTAAGAAATACAAATATTTACACTCTTGTTTAAAAGTTTGGGGTCGTTAAGATTTTTTTTATTTTTTTATTTAATGTTTTTTTTATGCTTTACAATTTTAACTAGCAGTGGGAGTCAGATTGCCCCCTAGTGGATGGCTAAAGATTTGTTAACTCATATTCATAAATTCTCAAGGGAACGTCTCTGAATGGGCGCGCCCCACGGGTTGAAAACCCCTGCTCCAGTCTTCAGTGCCGCATGAACATTCAGAAATCATTCTAATATGCTGATTTGATGCTCAAAAAACGTTTCTTATTATTAACAATGTTGTAAACTGTTGTGCTACTTCATATTTTTGTGGAAACCATGATATATTTTTTCACTTTTTATCAATGTGTCCTTGCTGAATAAAATAATTTTTCTTAACTTTTGAAGGGTGGTGTATATTATTATTATTATTATTACATAAAAAGCACTTTAAATTAAGCACCTAAATAAGTGGACATATTTCCGAAATGAACACAAATATTTGCACTGAACATAAAATATAAAAGTGAGACTACATTAAAACCATCACTGAGAGAACAAGGTTGTTTCTTTCCTCTACAGTGATGTGTACCACACCAAAAAGCAGCTATCTAACTTCCAGGAGATGCTAGAGAACATCTTTATGCCTCTGTTTGAAGTCACAGTCAATCCCAGCAGCCACCCACAGCTACATCTCTTTCTGGAACATGTGAGTGAACTTTTAGTAATGTAGTAAACCTTGTTTTTGTGTAAAATTATATGTAAATGTGCTTCTGAGGAGTGGAAGCATATTTGATTTCACACTCCTTTTTCCCAGTGGTTAAAGATCTGGCCTGGAAACCCATAGATTCAAACCCTTAGCTCATACATGTACAGTATTACTGTCCATATAAAAAGACTGTAAATTGCTTCGTAAGGTGCTTCAGATAAGAAAGAGTATGCCATTAAAGTTTAACCTTTGTGGTTAAATCAAACGTCCTACTTTACTCCACAAAATACATCCATCCCTATACACCATGTGTATTAAAATTAGACTGTCAACAAGTATGATCACAGTTTCATTGTATTGTAAGACTGAATGAATGTTGATGTGTCCTTTAGGTTGTGGGGTTTGATAGTGTGGATGATGAGTCCAAACCTGAGCATCACATCTTTAACCTGGACAGTCCAAAACCTGTGAACTGGACGGAGGAAGACAATCCTCCATACTCATATTATCTGTACTACGTGTATGCAAATATGACTGTACTCAACCACCTGCGCAGGTATTTGATGCACCCAAGTACACATTTTCCTTACCACAATACATCATATTAATTAAGGAAAAAATGAATGTATTTTATACCGATTCCGATTTTCTTCTTTGAAAGATGGATTAAAACCAATGTGTAGGTTACTGAATTAAAAGATGTTTTAGCTCCAGGATTGTGGTTAAATGTCATCTCTTTCTACAACAGGCAAAGAAACTTGAATTCGTTTGTATTACGTCCACACTGTGGAGAGGCAGGGCCTATTCACCACCTTGTGTCTGGATTTATGCTGTCAGAAAATATTTCCCATGGCCTGCTTCTGAGAAAAGTAAAGAAACTTTACATACTTCCACTGAATTATGCTTGTCCTTGTAAATCTGTTCTGCTTAGATATAAAGAATGTTTTTTTTTTTTCTCATGATTTTGTATCAGCCCAAGGCCATATACAAACATAACAAATGCTTTTTGAAAGGTACCAGTATTCAACAGCCATTCAAACATTGATATCCTCTCTTCAGCTTTGACCTATAGTGAACAATATTGACATATTTTAGAGCTAATATTCTTATCTTAAGACCCACTGCAAACAGTCAAGAGCTTATCGTTCCACCCAGAGCTTTAGAGTGAGATGTTTGTGTATTTTCCTCAGGCTCCTGTACTGCAGTATCTGTATTACCTGGCTCAGATCGGCATCGCCATGTCCCCACTCAGCAACAACAGCCTTTTCCTCAGTTACCATCGAAATCCTCTGCCTGAGTACCTGTCTAGGGGCCTCATGGTGTCTTTGTCCACTGATGACCCACTGCAATTCCACTTCACAAAGGTTACAAGCCAAACTATAACATCAGATATTAAAATGGTTTTAATTACATCTGTTATTTCTTGAGTTAGGTCTGTAATGTGTTTGACCTAGTGTGTGTGGCTGTTCAGGAGCCGCTGATGGAGGAGTACAGCATCGCTGCTCAGGTGTGGAAGCTGAGCTCATGTGACATGTGTGAACTGGCCCGAAACAGTGTCCTCATGAGTGGATTTTCTCACCAGGTGCTCACATCTACACATACACCTCTGTTAGCAATGGCAGAAGTCAGTTTTGTGTTGTTTAGTAAGCTACACATTTTACTTTCACTATTTTGGTAACACTTGACTGTAAGGTTAAATTTGTTAACATTAAAGCATAAGGTACCATGGCCTAAAAATGAACCATTTTCTAAAATTTGATATTAATTTTGTTAATTTCTACATACACTACTGTTATTTTAATGAATACTTTTATTTAGCAAGGATGCATTAATTGATCAAAAGTGACTTTCAAGTCGGTGCCGATAGCCTCGTGGGAGCGGGTCGACATATGGCACAGTTGCGCTTCGGGTGTCCCGAGTTTGAATCCTGCCTCGTGGACCTTTCCCGATCCTGTCCCCCTCTCTCTCCCACTCACTTTCTGTCAGATCTCTACTGTCCTATCAAGAAAAATGCAAAAAAGCCTCCATTCATTCATTCATTCATATTTAAAATACATAATTATATAAATAAATGATACTTAAATAAAAATGCCTTTAAATACATAATGTTTTAAAATGTTCTTTTATTTAGCAAGGATGCATTAAGTGATCAAAAGTGACTTTCAAGTCGGTGCCGATAGCCTCGTGGGAGCGGGTCGACATATGGCACAGTTGCGCTTCGGGTGTCCCGAGTTTGAATCCCGCCTCGTGGACCTTTCCCGATCCTGTCCCCCTCTCTCTCCCACTCACTTTCTGTCAGATCTCTACTGTCCTATCAAGAAAAATGCAAAAAAACGCCAAAAAAGTGACATTTAAAATATTATTCTATTTACAATAAATGCTGTTCTTTAAAAATTATATTCTTTAAGGAATCCTATAAAAGAATGTATCACAGTTTCCACAAAAATATTAAGCAGCACAGCAACATTTGATAATAAGAAAAAAAATGTTTCTTGAGTAACAAATCAGCATAATAGAATGATTTCTGAAGGATCATGTGTAACTGAAGACTGGAGTAATGATGCTGAAAATTCAGCTTGTCATCACAGGAATAAATAAAAAACAGTTTATATTGTAATAGTATTTCACAATATTACTCGTTTACTATATTTTTTGATCAAATAAATGCAGCCTTAGTGAGCATAAGAGACTTCTTTCAAAAACATTAAAAATCTTACCAAACTTTTGAATGGTGGTTCTCAACTGGTGTGTCGTGTCCAACAAATTAATTATAGAAAGCAGGGAAAAATAATACTTTATTCCTCACTGAAATGAAACTTTTAAGACTTTCCTCTTTTAAAAGGGAGGATAAAATAGTTCTCATATATCTTGTTGTTGTGGCAACCAATTTGGTTGTGCGTCCAAACACAACAGTATATTGGCACAAGTTTATCTGTCTCTAGTCAAATTACAGTAGTTAAAAGCCAACATAAGCAGATTGCATAACATGATCTCATTCTCTAAAACCCTGACCAAAACTATAGTAAATAAAGAAAAATATGACTCCGATTACTTTACATTATATATGGATTCTTTTGCATTGAGGATATGGCATATGGTACAATAAACAGTTTGGGCACTTTTTTTTGGTCTCACTTTATGTCCAGTGCGCATCCTGAAGCCAAACCACTGATGAAGACAATTAAAATACAAGGAATCAAAGAGAAAAACATGTGACTAATGCATGCAGATGTCTTGGGTCCAGGTGAAAAGCTATTGGCTGGGGCCGCATTATCTCAAAGAGGGGCAGGAGGGCAACGACATCAGACGCACTAATGTTCCAGACATCCGAGTGGCGTACCGCTTTGAGACGCTGTGCGAGGAGCTGAATCTGATCACCCAGGCTGTGCGGTCAGAGGAGCTGGAGACGGCTGAAGAGCAGGGTTCCCTGTGCATGGGTGCCAGACGTTAGCGGTGTCATACTCTCTCAGTTATTCACCCAGTACAGAATGTGAGTGAAAGGTTGATTCAGGGAGATGTGGCACAGTCATACTGTGTTTGATTCCACTGGTGTTCAACTAATTTTTTTTTTATTTGACTATTTAGGTATTTGCTAGAGATATACTGTTGTTTTTTTGGTTGTGAAGTGCAGGTTTAAAGGCCTCATTGTTAGGAATCAAAGAGAATTTGCACAAAGGAAATGCCAATGTTGTGTTTGACAAAAGCACATAAACATTTTCAGAATACCAACTGGAAACACTTACAGTATCTGTGAACTACTAGAAGGCTCCAGATATCCAGTCAAGCATCAGGAAACCCCAGAAATCTCCCCCACTGTTACTGTGGACACTGTCCTTAACCTGCAGTTCAGCATGAAATCAGTGAAATGGTTTACAGTGTGTGTGGCTGTTCAGGAGCCGCTGATGGAGGAGTACAGCATCGCTGCTCAGGTGTGGAAGCTGAGCTCATGTGACATGTGTGAACTGGCCCGAAACAGTGTCCTCATGAGTGGATTTTCTCACCAGGTGCTCACATCTACACATACACCTCTGTTAGCAATGGCAGAAGTCAGTTTTGTGTTGTTTAGTAAGCTACACATTTTACTTTCACTATTTTGGTAACACTTGACTGTAAGGTTAAATTTGTTAACATTAAAGCATAAGGTACCATGGCCTAAAAATGAACCATTTTCTAAAATTTGATATTAATTTAGTTAATTTCTACATACACTACTGTTATTTTAATGAATACTTTTATTTAGCAAGGATGCATTAATTGATCAAAAGTGACTTTCAAGTCGGTGCCGATAGCCTCGTGGGAGCGGGTCGACATATGGCACAGTTGCGCTTCGGGTGTCCCGAGTTTGAATCCCGCCTCGTGGACCTTTCCCGATCCTGTCCCCCTCTCTCTCCCACTCACTTTCTGTCAGATCTCTACTGTCCTATCAAGAAAAATGCAAAAAACCGCCAAAAAAGTGACATTTAAAATATTATTCTATTTACAATAAATGCTGTTCTTTAAAAATTATATTCTTTAAGGAATCCTATAAAAGAATGTATCACAGTTTCCACAAAAATATTAAGCAGCACAGCAACATTTGATAATAAGAAAAAAAATGTTTCTTGAGTAACAAATCAGCATAATAGAATGATTTCTGAAGGATCATGTGTAACTGAAGACTGGAGTAATGATGCTGAAAATTCAGCTTGTCATCACAGGAATAAATAAAAAACAGTTTATATTGTAATAGTATTTCACAATATTACTCGTTTACTATATTTTTTGATCAAATAAATGCAGCCTTAGTGAGCATAAGAGACTTCTTTCAAAAACATTAAAAATCTTACCAAACTTTTGAATGGTGGTTCTCAACTGGTGTGTCGTGTCCAACAAATTAATTATAGAAAGCAGGGAAAAATAATACTTTATTCCTCACTGAAATGAAACTTTTAAGACTTTCCTCTTTTAAAAGGGAGGATAAAATAGTTCTCATATATCTTGTTGTTGTGGCAACCAATTTGGTTGTGCGTCCAAACACAACAGTATATTGGCACAAGTTTATCTGTCTCTAGTCAAATTACAGTAGTTAAAAGCCAACATAAGCAGATTGCATAACATGATCTCATTCTCTAAAACCCTGACCAAAACTATAGTAAATAAAGAAAAATATGACTCCGATTACTTTACATTATATATGGATTCTTTTGCATTGAGGATATGGCATATGGTACAATAAACAGTTTTGGCACTTTTTTTTGGTCTCACTTTATGTCCAGTGCGCATCCTGAAGCCAAACCACTGATGAAGACAATTAAAATACAAGGAATCAAAGAGAAAAACATGTGACTAATGCATGCAGATGTCTTGGGTCCAGGTGAAAAGCTATTGGCTGGGGCCGCATTATCTCAAAGAGGGGCAGGAGGGCAACGACATCAGACGCACTAATGTTCCAGACATCCGAGTGGCGTACCGCTTTGAGACGCTGTGCGAGGAGCTGAATCTGATCACCCAGGCTGTGCGGTCAGAGGAGCTGGAGACGGCTGAAGAGCAGGGTTCCCTGTGCATGGGTGCCAGACGTTAGCGGTGTCATACTCTCTCAGTTATTCACCCAGTACAGAATGTGAGTGAAAGGTTGATTCAGGGAGATGTGGCACAGTCATACTGTGTTTGATTCCACTGGTGTTCAACTAATTTTTTTTTTATTTGACTATTTAGGTATTTGCTAGAGATATACTGTTGTTTTTTTGGTTGTGAAGTGCAGGTTTAAAGGCCTCATTGTTAGGAATCAAAGAGAATTTGCACAAAGGAAATGCCAATGTTGTGTTTGACAAAAGCACATAAACATTTTCAGAATACCAACTGGAAACACTTACAGTATCTGTGAACTACTAGAAGGCTCCAGATATCCAGTCAAGCATCAGGAAACCCCAGAAATCTCCCCCACTGTTACTGTGGACACTGTCCTTAACCTGCAGTTCAGCATGAAATCAGTGAAATGGTTTACACTATCATAGATTATAAACATTTGATGTCGCTTGTACACTTGCTCTGAACACTAACAGCCATAAACATTTGTTCTTTGGCTACTGTGTGTGAGCTCAAGTACCTACGCACATCTCTGCTATGAGCCGTCAACATCCTGTCATTTTTAAATTGATTTTTATCTCCTCTATATTCTTGATTTTAACAGGTTTTGTTCTAATAAGTTTATTATTGTTTGTGATCATTATTTTATAGTGGTTGTATCCTTTGTCATTTGGCCATTTTTATGTGTGTCTGTAATTGAATAATTATTAGTGCTATTTATTGTAAATCAGACATGATAATATCAAATAGGTATTTGCTAGAGATATACTGTTGTTTTTTTGGTTGTGAAGTGCAGGTTTAAAGGCCTCATTGTTAGGAATCAAAGAGAATTTGCACAAAGGAAATGCCAATGTTGTGTTTGACAAAAGCACATAAACATTTTCAGAATACCAACTGGAAACACTTACAGTATCTGTGAACTACTAGAAGGCTCCAGATATCCAGTCAAGCATCAGGAAACCCCAGAAATCTCCCCCACTGTTACTGTGGACACTGTCCTTAACCTGCAGTTCAGCATGAAATCAGTGAAATGGTTTACACTATCATAGATTATAAACATTTGATGTCGCTTGTACACTTGCTCTGAACACTAACAGCCATAAACATTTGTTCTTTGGCTACTGTGTGTGAGCTCAAGTACCTACGCACATCTCTGCTATGAGCCGTCAACATCCTGTCATTTTTAAATGGATTTTTATCTCCTCTATATTCTTGATTTTAACAGGTTTTGTTCTAATAAGTTTATTATTGTGATCATTATTTTATAGTGGTTGTATCCTTTGTCATTTGGCCATTTTTATGTGTGTCTGTAATTGAATAATTATTAGTGCTATTTATTGTAAATCAGACATGATAATATCAAAGTCAAGTTTATTTTTCTGCTGTATTCTGTATCAAAATTAAAATATAATTCTGTGAGTCTGTGTATTTAATATTGCATAGATACTATTCACTGTATTTTTCAAAGCAGAAGTAAGCTGTTTCTTAGGAATGTGCAAGACTTATGATTTTTTTTTTTTTACCGATATAGAGAAATAACTAGAGGAATAACAAAGTAATTAGTGAAACTATTTTTGCTACAAACCAGTGTGTTTTGAATTATGGTACATTATATATGTATATATGATGTAAATGCGTTCTAAACTAGTTCTAATTTAATGCCTCATTTAGATATAATAACAAGAACAAGTTGGCCTTTTGGTCCCAATAAGATATTTTTTCTCCCTTTGAAAATGCTAAAACATGCAAGCATGCATTTAGAATGCACATCGACCTATTGGTTGAAAATATAAATGAATTTTTTTTATATTATTAGCATATATCAATTTAGCATGAACAGAATACTCATAACACGACAGAACATTCATTTTGTGGGTGTACTATCTCTTTAACTTGAAACCGCACAGAAGCCACGTGCGCGCACACGCCCCCCTCCACCATTCCGCTGCTCCTGCACCTCGTTTTGAAGAACAACGGTGCACTCTTGTTGCAAAATGGCAATGAAATTGGCATACTGGGATATTCGTGGGGTATGAAACAGTTGTAATTTTTGCATACCTATTTTATACTAATTTTGCATAGTTAGACCTTTAATTGATTCATATTTGATTTCGTTGTAATTTTTGTTTCATAACTTCGTCATGCAGTCATCGCAGAAGAATAGAATCGAAGTCACTGTGGTTTGCCATGTTTAAAAACGGTCAAATCTGCATACGCTCAGCTTGTTTAAACTCACATCTTTGGTTAGCGATAAGTCGAGAGAAATGAGCTAACTTAGGCCGTTACTCGGCAAAGTTTGATTCTGGTTTAGATATAACGGTCGTCTGATGTGACACCGACCTGAAACATAAAAACTATTTTTTTGTGGGTATTTTATGGTCGATTCTTTAAAATAACGTTTTATACCTAAAAAGCGTTCAGTGATTGTCAGGAGCGATTAGTAGGAGTTAAGAATGGACGCGCTTTTGTCGTTTAGCGCCTATCGTGCTCGCCAAGCCCACATATGCTGCTATTTTACTATTATGTTATGTTTATCTAACGTTACTGCAGCTTGGGTTTGGTTAACTTACACCCCAATATGCGAAATTACGACGAAACACGTGCGGTATTCTTTGAGTTCATAAGAGCTACAATTAAACGCTTTGTTAAAGCATTGGGCAAAACTTTTAACTTTGGGTTATATAAACGTCATTGAGAGCTGGTTTAGGCCACTTTGCCAGAATGTTACGGCGAGTTGTCAAAAACGGCCTCGGTGCTAGTTACCGTTTAGCTTTCTATAGTCGCAGAACATTCTCGCTTCTTCTTTCGTCTCCTTATCACTCTGACGGAAACCGGTAAAAAATGTCGAACAAACGCTTAAACTGGAGTGTTTAAGATGATATTATTTTACTGTAAGTTATGTTTCAGAGGACTTAAAGCAACTTGACCACATCTATGTCGCAACATTTCCACAGCTAGAAGCGTATGCTATTAATCCTCTGGTGCTGCTCGCTTGGCAGTCAAAAATTAGCATTTTTTATTTTTATTTTAGTGAAATTTAATGTACATTATATTAGTCTGATCATGTTTTTCATATTTTGCTTTTTTGGGGATTTTATGGTGCTAAATTATATTTATGAAATAGTTGTGCTCCAATTATTATCTGTTAACCACTTTTTGAACATAGACCTGAAAATAAAATATCCAACTTAAATTGACGTAAATTCTGAATTCTTTGGAGCAGACTTAAGTTTGGTCTCTTTTTACAGAAGACACTTGACAAATTATTAAAAAGCGAAACAAAAAATAAATGTATTAAAGAGTGAAATGTTATATCATTTTAGGTATATTAATATTTTTTTAAAAAAAGTTTTTTTTTTTTTTTTTTACAATTTTTATATGAAATACATATTTTCCAAAACATTTTTTACTCTAAAATTGCATGAAAGTAAAAGCCATAAATCTAAACAAGTTGTGTTCCAAATTTGATGTTGATGTCTCAAAAAATGAGCTTTCCGTAAAATTTTGTTTGGAGGCTGTACCAAACGTTTCCACTAGATGTAATTTGCTTCACATTAATTTCCAATGTGCTCAGTACAAGTGTGACTTTTTTGTTTCATTTAGCCTAATGTTTTGGAATCATATCCATTTTTTGTGTGTGTGTGTTCACATAGCAAGTGCCAAAACCTTTACCAAGTTTCGTACCATTCCAATGAAGTACAAAATTCTAAAACAAAACTTTTTCAGTAAAAAAAGACCGAACAGCGCCAGAGGGTTGAACTGGTTTTGTTCTATTATTTGTCTAATCAGTGTTATTCACCTTACTAATATGAAAATAAGAACATTAACCCAGGGTTTATGAATATGCTGTGTGAAATATCAACCCTCAGTTAATCATTTCAAGAGTGAAAAACATTTTACAGCTGCTGGAATTATTTATACTGAATGTTATGGATATCATTTAATCTGATTACAGCTTGCTCAACCAATCCGTCTGCTGTTGGAATACACTGGTACCAAGTATGAGGAGAAGTTCTATTCTTGTGGTGACGGTAAGTGATGATTATTATAACATATAGTAGCAGACACAGTCAGATTGTCCATACATCGTGATGGCTGTCAGCCATCGGCGATGGACGATGGCATCGTCTATTGGCCCAACCCTATTACCCACATAGTGTTGTTCAGTATAACATGCAATAACTAACCACCATCATCCTTCACCAGTTGCCCTACCTAGAGGATGGAGACAAGAAAGTGGTCCAAAGCAATGCCATAATGAGATACATCGCCCGCAAACACAACCTCTGTGAGTACTTCATTCATTTATTCCTTCATTTAAAAAAAACAAAACAAAACTTTATTTTCTCAAGCATCACTGAAAATAGCCGTCCAAGTAATGTTAAACTTCTCTTTCTAACTTGTTTCTAGGTGGGGAAACTGAAGAGGAGCAGGTGAGAGTTGACATCTTGGAAAACCAGGCAATGGACTTCCGCAATGGTTTTGTCCAGCTCTGCTATGGAGACTTTGTGAGTGATTGAATATATCGAAATATGTACAGCATTGAAGAAATTTGCAACTAATAATATGAATTTACTTATTAATTGATAACACGAATGATTTGTAATGCATTTGTACTTGATTACAGGACAAAAGCAAATCATGCTACACTGACAAACTGCCAGGGACGCTAAAGCTGTTCTCTGACTTCCTTGGTGACAGGAAGTGGTTTGCTGGGGACAAGGTAAATAGGCATAATGTTTGGAAGCACTTTAGTTTGTACATTTAAAGTGGCAGGATATAAAAGTATATCTAATCAAATAATTTGTTTGACATGCGCATCCTATTTTCTCATCCTGTAGATCACATTTGTGGACTTCATCATGTATGAGTTGTTGGATCAGCATCGTATGTTTGACCCAGCGTGCCTGGATGACAACAAAAACCTTAGATGTTTCCTTGATCGCTTTGAGGTTTGGATTCAGCTTTTGTCACACGGAATGATTTGATAGTCTCACCTAAGTTGTAATGATAAAAGATAAACCATATTGTGACTTGATATGAATTGTGTTCCCTATCAGAGTCTTGAGAAGATTGCAGAATACATGAAGTCAAACAAGTTCATGAAAACACCAGTGAACAACAAGATGGCCAAATGGGGAAACAAGAAGGAGTGAAACTAACAAGATTGTGTCTTGATAAAGCATCATAAGGTGCAACATCATCTGCTTTGGTTATAAGTTCAATGCAGTTGAACTGCACACTGATCATTTTTTTGGGGACCACTATTTTAAACCTTTCAATAACTAACAAAGCGAGACCATTATCATTAGTATTGATTACAAAAGCGTTACAAAACAATCAGAATTCTCAGTTGTTGTCTGTAGGCATAGTGCAAGCACTTAGGCTTAAATTGGAAGTGTTCAGGTGAGTGTCGCCCTTTGATTTTTGACAGTTTGATGCCATGAAAAGAAAAGAAGCATTTCATTGTTTTATGGATCTCACTGTTTGGATTGTGATTCTACATTTGAAAACAAAGCATTAAATGCAGTACCTTATTTTGACCCAATAAAAGCACAGCACCGTTTTGTTAAATGAATTTTTAAAATGGCTGTTTTTTTTCTCACTGGGGAAACCTCACTAATGCTAAAACATGTTTGTATTTAGAATGCATATGTGTTTGCTGAAAAAGACTGATAAAATCTTGCATACTGTTTTGCAAAGAAATTGTGCGACGCCGCACAAAAATGTTCCGCAGAAGAAAGAAACTCGTACAAGCTTAGTTTGAACAACATGAGGGGGTGACAGAATTTGCGTGAGGTTTGAACGCGCCCCAAAGTGACGTTTTGCCCCGCCCGTCGTTCACATTGCACTCTGGCGCGCTCGCGCCTCCGCCATCCGCTCTCCTTCTATTCTGCTCCTGCACAGAGGCGCTCCTTGCAAGTGGCAAGATGGCAATGAAATTGGCATACTGGGATATACGCGGGGTAGGAAATATTTTGTACAAAATTTGCGTAAGGTGGTTAGACATTTAATTAATTTTTATTTAATATCTGCAAAATGTTTACTGCGTAACTACGTCACAGAAGATTAGAATATCGCTCAGTGTGGTTTGTCATGTCTAAAATACACAAATTTATATTTCATATATATATATATATATATATA